CACAGTTATGATCTGACAAAAGTAATGAACTCGAGTCTCATAGATAAGGTGGATGTGGAATTATGGGATGGTAAAATTACAGAGGAAGGAAAGGGAATGGTAAAGAACAAATATTATTGGTCTCTCTTACAACTTATTAAGAAAAGAATAGAGTCAGGAAACCTGTCAACATCCTTTAATAAAGCAAAGACTAATGTTATGCGCATAGCCCTGCATTCACTTGGATCTCCACTCTGGGGCTGGGAATTTAGTCAGCATGAAAAGGACCATCAGTGGGAAAGTCTCACAGCCTTTATGTATATGCTTCGGGCCCTTGTACGCTCCTCTTTCTCCATAGGAATGGTCACCATCCCATCTCATCTGTTTGTAGACCCTGCTCTTATGTCCCGCTTGACAACAGCAGGGGATTTTGTCGTGAGACTTGAATCGTTTCAAGGGTCAGAGAAGGAAACCAATCCAATATTCAAGGATTACCATGGACTTTTCCACATTGTGAAGCTGTCTGCACTCAATAGCCTTGTTCCTCCCTTGTTAGACTCTACAGACTGGGTTTTTCGACTAAAAAGACGCAGTTTAACTATTGAGCGATTGCATCTCCCTCCTGAATTGTCAGAGACTGTCAGCAGAGATCAAGAAGAAACAGTTACAAAATCAGGCCCTGCTTGTATGGGGGGAAAACTTCCTAAACACCTGGATTTTTAAAGTTTGTTGCCTTATGAATAAATTTGATCAAAGTTTTGATAGTGTTTCCCTTAGATTTTCCTTTTTTTTAATATAGTTATAGTTCATTCTTTCATTCTAGTTTTTTCCTGTTTGATTAGTATCAAACCATATGTAATACAATAAGTATATTATATCAAGTAAGTTATGCAAATATATGTAATGTAACAATATTTTCATCTTGGTTATTGATTTTGACTCTGAAATATACAAATAAAAACTATTAAAATGCTTTTTTATGCAGAAAAAAGCGATGTTGGGTTATCCTTCATAAATTGCTTTTATCCATTTTAGTAATCCATGTAACAAAATTTATTCTTTTAATGACATCCATTATCCCATTGCTGCTGGGGAAAATGAACAAAAAATGCGGAAAATGATGTACTCATTTTTTATATATTTGTGAAATATCTCCACACACGTATTCTTACTAGTGCTATAAATATAGATGGTGTTATTTTTAACAGCAAATTAGGGTAACGTTAAATATTTTCATAAATCGATGAAAAGGTTGAACGGGCGAGACAGGCAGTACTCGTAATTGGCTTATTGGTGACTTAGTACAAGTGTAGCCATCTATGTGTAAACACAATCAAACAAGTCGACTCACAGTGGGCATGGCATGTATGTACATGCCATCCCCGGCGGAAATGGGTTAATTGCTGTATAGGTCTATAGAAGTGGCCACAGTGGAATATGGTATTTCCAGAATGCATGACTAACACCTGGTGAGGAGATGCATGACTTGGGGTTCTAAAACTTCATGACCTACATCTTTTTCATAGGCTTTGCAGTCTTGAAAGTAATATTGTTGATAGAAAACAAACTTTCAGAGGAAAGTGTATATTTGGAAAAGAAGAAAAATTTCTGAAGATGACAATTTAGAATTAGCAGGTTATGCAGTCTTCACCCTCAGAAGTATTAAAATTCCCAATTTACAAGAAAAGTCATGAAGGAAATAAGTATTAATTGCTTGCATGAAATGTGTATGTGTATGTGGTGGCTTAACTGCTAAGTATTTAAATTAATTGACTAAAAACTGTAAAAGTTGAAGGGATGACAAAATACCAAAATGAAGGATATGTGATAAAAATACACACACATACATACATATATATATATATATATATATATATATATATATATATATATATATATATATATATATATATATATATATACATATATATATATATATATATGTATAAAAAAATATTTTATATATATATATACACACACACACACACACACACATATATATATATATGCATATATATACATAGAGATAGTTATATAGTAGAAATTCTAAGAAATAATAAAACAACAACATAGTTAAGCAGCATAATACAAATATATATATATATATATATATATATATATATATATATATATATATATATATATATATATATATATATATATATATATGTATGTATGTATGTATGTATGTATATATGTATATATGTATATATGTATATATGTATATATGTA